GTGCTCCCCGGGGGTGTCTCCAAAGGGTCCCCCTTCGATGCCTTTGCCGGCATTGAGTAAGTGAAAGAATGGTCAGAAACAGATGGTGGGTTTGAAATAACCCATCTGGAGTCATAGGAGGAACAGGTCGTGGTGCGTGTACAGAGGTCAGGCCTCTTCCCTTCCTTGAGGACCCCGCTAACGTTCACTGAAGCTGCCACGTTGTGCTGGGCTGTGGGGTAACCACACACATTCCCGTGGTCTAACTTTGCACGTCCCCATGGTCTAGACACACATGCCCCCATGGTCTATCCATGCATATCCCCATGGTCTAACCACACACATCCCCGTGGTCTAACCACACACATCCCCATGGTCTAACCATGCACGTCCCCGTGGTCTAACCACACACATCCCCATGGTCTAACCACACACATCCTCATGGTCGCAGGGAGGAGGCCATCCCAGGGAGCTCCCAGGCAGCTGCTCTTGGCACAGCCTCTCCCCGGCCAATGGCTGTGACTTTACTCAGGGGAAGGGCCTGGGCCTTCCCTGTCACCTTGCCTCTGGCCATGAGGGTGGCAGTGACCTTCTCCCTTGTCGTGACCTCGCACAGGAGCATGGTGATGTCTATGAGCTTCTACTTTCCCATGGCCTTGCATATGGTCCTCCCTGGGCCTGCAACTGTCTCCTTCACTGGAGGGTGCAATGCTTTTTGCCTCCCCTGCTACGGAAAAGTCAAAGCAAGAAAAGGAGGGTATCAGACCAGAGAGTATCCTGTAACTCCTGCTAATCCCCTAGTGGCTTAGGATAAGCTTTTCCTGCCTTAGTGACTTAAATGCCTGAGACAATTTGAAGAACAAGAAGCTTTTCCTAATGCTGCTGAGGGGGGGAAGAGTCTCCCACCGCAGGCTGATGCCTTTCCAAGCCCAGCTGGGAGGAGTTCTGGAGAATGAGCTGTGGGCAGCGCCAGTACCCCTTGCCCATGCGACAGTCCCCTCTTGGGTGCTGCTCACAGCCAGCACACCGGCCTGTCTGGTAGCGTCAGCTACGCTCCAAGCAGCAGCTATGAAGCAGCCTATACTACGTGAGCCAGTGGGAAAGGCTGAAAGGGTGAATCTGTCGCAAAACGCCGTTAGGATTAAGGTGATGACAGTGAGGTGTGATTTCCTTTTCTTTCTTCCTCATGCTAAATAATAACGCTTGCAGCAGTAATAGTAATAATAATAGTAAAGTAGTGGGAGCTGAGAGAATGATGGGCACAGGCTCCGCTTGCTTGCTTCTGGCAGACAGGCACATCCTGCCACTCTGGGGCTGACTCAGCCTGCTGTGTGCACGTCGTGTCTGCAAAGCAGGGGCGATAGCACTTCCTCCCTCCCCCGGCTTCACAGTTTTCTGTGTGACCTGCGAGGTATTTGACACGCAATTTCATTTTCTTTCCTTCCTTTTTTTTTTGGAGCTCACACATGGCTCATAGCTGCGGCTAACGGTCACACAAGGCTCTTAGCGGGTCCCCACAGGTCCCTCTTGGAGCTGTTTTTACACAGCCAGGGTTGGAGCGGTTGGTTGAGTCGCATGTTGGCTTTCTGCTCTTCTCTGGCAGAAGGAGAGAGTTGGCTCTTTGCCCTGGCAACCAACCGAGGCCAAGTCCAAAGCCCGCTAGTGCAGCAGACCAATGGCATCCAACTGGTACCCGTTGTTCCTCCAGCACCAAGGAGGGGGGTGAGGGAGACGAGCGATGAGAGAGGTGACTAGAAGAGCTCCACAGTACAAGAGGGATGTGGAGCTGCTGGAGAGAGTCCAGCGCAGGGCTACAAGGATGATCAGGGGCCTGGAACATCTGCCCTATGAGGAGAGGCTGAGGGAGCTGGGCCTGTTCAGCCTGGAGAAGAGAAGGCTGAGAGGGGATCTAATCAGTGTATATAAATACCTCAAGGGAGGGAGTGCAGAGGACGGGGATGGTCTCTTTTCAGTGGTGGCCACTGATAGGACTAGAGGAAATGGCCGGAAACTGAAACATCAAAAATTCCATAGGAACTTAAGGAAAAATTTCTTAACAGTGAGGGTGACAGAGCACTGGAACAGGCTGCCCAGAGAGGTTGTGGAGTCTCCTTCTCTGGAGATCTTCAAAACCCGCTTGGATGCAGTCCTGTGCCACGTGCTTTAGGTGACCCTGCGTATGCAGGGGGGTTGGACTAGATGATCTCTAGAGGTCCCTTCCAACCCTAAGCATTCTATGATTCTATGATTCTATGATTCTAAGAGAAGGGAAGACTAGAAGAGAAGGGAAAAAGAATGAGAAAAGAGGCAGGGAGCGGACATCTCCACGGCAGAAAGTGAGTCCTTTTGACACTTCTCTGCGTCTGTGGTGAATGAAGATAATACCTCCACTGCAGAACCTGCAAAAGATGAAAAAAAACATTTTGCATTTTTTTCACTGCTTTTTTTTTGAAGCTCATCTCTTCTTTGTTTTGCGTAGCTTATTGCTTTCTCTAAGCCCCTTCACTCACCGTTCACTCACAGCGCTTTCACAAATAAAAAGCAAAGCATTGTCCTCCCTGCTCCCTTCCGTCTCAAGAGGTGCCCAAGTTAGAAGTTCACTTCACTCCTTCTCGTTTGCTAGGTGTGCAAATTTCCCCAAACTTTGGAGCCTCCTCCCCAAGTCAGTACCAAGGCTCCCTTTGACTTCACGTGCACAAGACAAAGCTTCAGACACTTGCGGACCCTTAGATCTCTGAGCATTTCCCAATACATTTGGTTTTCTTTGCTGCCTCACAGTCACCGTTCAGCGTGACTTAGCATTTGGGCCTGGGTGACTTCAGTTCATCGCCACTGAAGCTGTCACAAGGCATCCCCTCCTATGTTCTGCCCATCCTGATTTTGCGCCCACTCCTCTCTGGGCAGTCAAGAGAGGAGAAGAGGCAGGGAACATCTGAACAGACCATCTGTGCTATCAGGAGATATGACCAAGCGTATCCTAGTAGCTCACCTTTGCCGCTTACACAGTGGCAGCATTGCCTGTGGGGACAATTCTAGCTCCGAATCTGGCATTACTGTTCCCTGGGCCATGCTGAGCCTCCAGCATCCCCGTTGCTACCTTGTGAGTATATTATTTTAATATGGGGGGCGTTGAACATCGCTTTTTATGGAGGTGAGCCTACTACCTGCCTTTCTGAGCCTTGGATGTTGGCTTTGCTCCCCCAGAGCTTTGCTTCAGGGCTTGGCCACCTTTGGAAGCACAGCCCAGGCTATTTGGTGGTCCTGAACTATTTAACAGTGCACAGGACTAACATCACCCTATTTCAAAACAGGTGCTGCAGGCAAGAGGCTCACACACAAAAATATCACCAAGCTGTGAAGGAGAACGCTTGGTTAGACTTTAAAACTGGAGAGCACTGTGAGGATCATTTTGTCCCAGTGTCTCACAGGCTACTGTATTTCCATCGGTCACGGAGAGGGAACCTGCAGTGAAGAGGCACTCATGGGCCGTACCAAATCCACCTAGAACCCTGTAGTTCCAAAAGGGTCTTTTGGTGGGATTTAGTGGATTCCCCCAGGCACCTGGGCCGGGAAGCTGGGATGCCAGTGTTACCTGCATACTGCTGCAGCTTCTCGCTGGGGCAGATCCATGGAGTTTGACTTCCCTCATTTTACTGACCCACAACACACAGCACCAGTGTATACACGGCACCCGGAGTGACGTTCCACCACCAGCCAGCGTAGCCACATTGCACAGCAAGGGTCCCAAGCCAGCCCCTGCCATTCTGGGCAGACTCCCATTCTGCTGCTTCCCTGGTCTGCCATGCGTGTCTGGCTTTGTGGGCAACAAGTGCCAGTGCAGAGGACGAAACATCAGGTCCTGCAGGCCTTCCGGCAATGCATACACACAGGCTGCTCCAGATACAACTACGTTTGTGCCATGGCCTCCCCATCCAAAGAGGAGATTGGCAGGGAATAGGAGCTCCTTCCAAACACCTTTGCCCGAACCTGCTGCTTGGGTGCTCACATGCACCTGGAGATAGTGCTGGGAATGAGCAATAGCAATCCTGGAAGCCTGGGGCCTCTTTTCTTTTGACCAATTTGAGATGGGTAGAACCAATTTCAGTGGCCTTGTAGGAGAAGCACGTGCCCCAAAATATTGTATCTCCTTAAGGAATAAAATCCGAGAAGGAACAAGATGGGTGAGTAAGTAGAGCTCCCAAATTGGTTTGGGGCCATAGGTGACACCCATGAGCCCATTTCTTCAAGCTGAGACCACCACTTTGCCCACCAAATGTCCCACCAGAGAAAGACGTGGTTTCCTCCTCAGTGCAACGCCTGGCTAACTGCTACAGGTGGCCCAGCAGGACAGAGGCAGGGTGCTCCAGATCAGGCGCTTTGGATGGGGATGCATCCCTGATGCCCAGGGCCTCAGGAAAGCTGATGCCAAAGCTTCAGTTTGCAG